TGTTGATTCTCTTTTCTTCATTGAATTTGGGTCTAGCGTTTGAACAATTTAAGCAACCAAATATTATGACCCCATTCCTGAAAGCTACGACTCTCAGGAACACGGACGTGCTTTCTGTTTCCCTCTCTGATGCTCATAAGGACTCGTTAAAATGTTGCTAATTACATTTAGCAACATTTCATTTTAAGTGTTTTATTGGTGGTTGTGCGTTGCTTTTTTCTTTCCGAAGAATAATCGCATGTGGAAAATGTACGACCCCCTGCAATTAACCTTTTTTTACATCTGGCCCCTGTAAGAACATAGTTGAATAGCCCCCCCTAGTGTAGGGAATCCTTGGACCATCTAAATCACTGGAAATATATTTTCAATAACAAAAAATATATTTTTTAAGGCTTTTTGAAGTATGTGGATGCTTGGGACATTACCACCATGGTCCAAGCTATTCGGAATCCTTGGGACTTCGGATACTACTAACCTCCTCTCCACTGTGTTGCGGGTGGTGTTGTTGCAATTCACCTAGCTTCCACATGGGGGAGACATTCTACATCTAGCACCTTTAATCAGTGAACACCATAGTTGTCATTCCCTTGTTATTTATTGAATATACACTGAGTGTACATTGGGAACATGACATAGACTGACTGGTGAATCCAGGTGAAAGCTATGATCCCTTATTGATGTCACTTGTTAAATCCACTTCAATCAGTGTAGATGAAGGGGAGGAGACGGGTTAAAGAATGACTTTTAAACCTTGAGACAATTGAGACATGGATTGTGTATGTGTGCCATTCAAAGGGTGAATGGGCAAGAAAAAAATATTTAAGTGCCTTTGAACGGGGTATGGTAGTAGGTGCCAGGTGCACCGGTTTGTGTCAAGAACTGCAACGCTGCTGGGTTTTTCACGCTCAACAGTTTCCCGTGTGTATCAAGAATGGTCCACCACCCAAAGGACATCACGCCAACTTGAAATAACTGTGTGAAGCATTGGAGTCAACATGGGCCAACATCCCTGTGGAATGCTTTCGACACCTTGTAGAGTCCATGCCCCGACAAATTGAGGCTGTTCTGAGGGCAAAAGGGGGGGATGCAACTCAATATTAGGAAGGTGTTCTTAATGTTTTGTCACTCTGTGTATATTATTAGCAGTAGCTCTAATGTTGTCGTTGTTCTCGTCGTGGGAATTACGACTCGAGTTAAGCCTGGAAATGGATTACGACCCGAGTTAAGCCTGGAAATGAATTCCGACCCGAGTTAAGCCTGGAAATGAATTCCGACCCGAGTTAAGCCTGGAAATGAATTCCGACCCGAGTTAAGCCTGGAAATGAATTCCGACCCGAGTTAAGCCTGGAAATGAATTCCGACCCGAGTTAAGCCTGGAAATGGATTCCGACCCGAGTTAAGCCTGGAAATGAATTCCGACCCGAGTTAAGCCTGGAAATGGATTCCGACCCGAGTTAAGCCTGGAAATGGATTACGACCCGAGTTAAGGCTGGAAATGAATTCCGACCCGAGTTAAGCCTGGAAATGGAACGTAATTCCCTTTTTATGCACTGTTCTCTTTATGCATATTCTGACCTTGAACTGAAGCATGAGAACAGCATGCTATTCACCCACTATTCATTGGGGGTGGAGATCAAATAAATTAAGGTGTGGCGGAGGTGTGTCTACAGATACGCCGTATTCTGACCTTGACTTCATTCCCTCATAATTCCGCCACTTATTACAAGCGATGAAACCATGAGTAAGGTCGAGCAAGCTGTCGGTTCCAAGTGGAACAACATCTCCTTTCTTTTTTCCTGATAGAAATAACAGCATTCTCCATGCACTGTAATTTACACCTTGATAAGAGCTATTGATAAGAGCTAGGTTAATGAGTTAGCCGTCTGGATAAGGGAATTGTAAATATAAATTACAATGTTTTTAGATCTATTTTACCTTCTGATCGCTGGAGACAGATGTGAAACCAGTGATATGGCAGCAAACTGAAGCATATCAACATTTCACCTTTTCACACTGAAGTTGATGACATACTGGCTTTATAACCTGCAGGGATGACATCTGGAGGAGACCCAAGCTATAGGCTTCTGTTGCCAAACCTAACCAGTTGATTTATGATTTCTAGAATGTTTCAATTATCTGCCCAGACTTTTCAATGTATTTTATTTTATTTTTACAATTTGTATCATGTTAAATATTAGCCACTATCAGTAGCCACCATCAGTTATACCCACATACATTTATAAATGTCCGTTTAGTTTCCTTACATTTTGCTTCATTCCATTACATCGTTAGGTTATCTTTCTTTCCTCTGTCACGTTCGTGTGGTTGTTCCTGAGCAATAGTGGATCCTATTAGCATAACAAGCTGTGCAATAATGTAGTGGAGCCTATTAGAATCATTATGGATCTCAGACCATATGTAGCAGTTTAAACCTGGAGCCTGGCGCACGGTTCACCACGACTGGACCGTTGCCATGACAGTTCCAGGATCAGTGAGGATTATTAGGGTGGATTTATACGACTACTGGTCAACCCCTATTGGACACGTTTCTCACCTTCCAGTATTTCATGGATTGAACAATTGAATATGGCAACTTTCACGACCATTGTATTTTTTTATTCAGATATATATTTCACGCATAAAGGCGCTCCAAAGCTGTTTATATTGATTATAAAATCAATCCTATCCCTAAACAATAAAACTTTTTTTTTTATCTACCAATTGTTGCTGAAAAGGAGATGAGTATGCATGAACCGTTCTCTCCATATATTAGAGTCTGTAGAGAATATTCTAATTAAAGGTACACCAGAGTTAAAGGGATGGCTGAAAACCCTATTGAATGAAAACGAGTAAATCTGTTGGCCAGCAAGTGGGAGGGTTTTCAGCGGTTGAATTAATTGTATTCAGCGTGCGCAAGGGAACCACACCTGCAAAGCCCATTACGCACATGCACAAGGTTAGTCTGAATATCAACTACTGAGAAGTGCGAAGGAAAGGGGTGGGTAGGAAAGGTGTACATTTCCTAATTCTGAATCGGGCCTATCATGCCTAAATTGTTGTTGTGGTCAGGCAGCAAGGGAAGAATGGGACGAGGCACAGCTGGAGTCAAGGTTCATGACCTGGCAGTGACTCCACAGGGCAGGGCAGCATAACAGGGCCATGCACACACACAGACAGTCAGTAGCTGTCACTGTCAGTAGCTGTCACTGTCAGTAGCTGTCACTGTCAGTAGCTGTCAGTCAATAGCTGTCACTGTCAGTAGCTATCATAAGCTGTCACTGTCAGTGGCTGTCACTCTCAGTAGCTGTCAAAGTCATAGCTGTCACTGTCAATAGCTATCACTGTCAGTAGCTGTCAGTAGCTATCAGTATCTGTCACTGTCAGTAGCTATCAGTATCTGTCACTGTCAGTAGCTTTCACAGTCATAGCTGTCACTGTCAATAGCTATCATAAGCTGTCACTGTCAGTAGCTGTCACTCTCAGTAGCTGTCACTCTCAGTAGCTGTCACTCTCAGTAGCTGTCATTAGCTGTCATTAGCTGTCACTGTCAGTATCTGTCAGTAGCTGTCACTCTCAGTAGCTGTCAGTAGATGTCACTCTCAGTAGCTGTCACTATCAGTAGCTGTCACTGTCAGTAGCTGTCAGTTAGTAGCTGTCACTATCAGTAGCTGTCAGTAGCTGTCACTATCAGTAGCTGTCAGTCAGTAGCTGTCACTGTCAGTAGCTGTCAGTCAGTAGCTGTCACTGTCAGTAGCTGTCAGTAGCTGTCACTGTCAGTAGCTGTCACTGTCAGTAGCTGTCAGTAGCTGTCACTGTCAGTAGCTGTCACTGTCAGTAGCTGTCACTGTCAGTAGCTGTCAGTCAGTAGCTGTCACTGTCAGTAGCTGTCAGTAGTTGTCAGTAGCTGTCAGTAGCTGTCACTGTCAGTAGCTGTCACTATCAGTAGCTGTCACTGTCAGTAGCTGTCAGTCAGTAGCTGTCACTGTCAGTAGCTGTCACTGTCAGTAGCTGTCACTATCAGTAGCTGTCACTATCAGTAGCTGTCAGTAGCTGTCACTGTCAGTAGCTGTCACTGTCAGTAGCTGTCAGTAGCTGTCAGTCAGTAGCTGTCACTGTCAGTAGCTGTCAGTCAGTAGCTGTCACTGTCAGTAGCTGTCACTATCAGTAGCTGTCACTATCAGTAGCTGTCACTATCAGTAGCTGTCACTGTCAGTAGCTGTCAGTCAGTAGCTGTCAGTCAGTAGCTGTCACTGTCAGTAGCTGTCAGTCAGTAGCAGTAGCTGTCACTGTCAGTAGCTGTCACTATCAGTAGCTGGTCACTGTCAGTAGCTGTCACTGTCAGTAGCTGTCACTGTCAGTAGCTGTCAGTCAGTAGCTGTCACTGTCAGTAGCTGTCAGTAGCTGTCAGTAGCTGTCACTGTCAGTAGCTGTCAGTAGCTGTCAGTCAGTAGCTGTCACTGTCAGTAGCTGTCAGTAGCTGTCACTGTCAGTAGCTGTCACTATCAGTAGCTGTCACTGTCAGTAGCTGTCAGTCAGTAGCTGTCACTGTCAGTAGCTGTCACTGTCAGTAGCTGTCACTATCAGTAGCTGTCACTGTCAGTAGCTGTCACTGTCAGTAGCTGTCAGTCAGTAGCTGTCACTGTCAGTAGCTGTCAGTCAGTAGCTGTCACTGTCAGTAGCTGTCAGTCAGTAGCTGTCACTGTCAGTAGCTGTCACTGTCAGTAGCTGTCACTATCAGTAGCTGTCACTGTCAGTAGCTGTCACTATCAGTAGCTGTCACTGTCAGTAGCTGTCAGTCAGTAGCTGTCACTGTCAGTAGCTGTCAGTCAGTAGCTGTCACTGTCAGTAGCTGTCACTGTCAGTAGCTGTCACTATCAGTAGCTGTCACTATCAGTAGCTGTCACTATCAGTAGCTGTCAGTCAGTAGCTGTCAGTCAGTAGCTGTCACTGTCAGTAGCTGTCAGTCAGTAGCTGTCACTTTCAGTAGCTGTCAGTAGCTGTCAGTAGCTGTCACTGTCCAACCACTCTTTATAGCACTTCCCACCCAGACTGCCCTCGTTGCCATAGTAACCCACAGTGGCCTCCTTTCCATAGCAATCTACACTGGCATCATTCCCATGACGACCTAGGCTTCCCTCGTACTGTTCAGGGTTACCATAGCGATCCAGGCTGGTTTGGTAAAGACTGTCTCCATAGTGACTGGTGTTGTACAGATCACTACTCTTCACCACGTTGCCATGATGACCCAGACTGTTGTCGTACTTCTCTCCGTTGCCATGATGACCCAGACTGTTGTTATAAACCTCTCGGTTACCATGCCGACCCAGACTGTTGTTATAAACCTCTCTGTTGCCATGCCGACCCAGACTGTTGTGGTAAATGTCTGGATTGCCGTTGCGTCGCCCCAGACTAAGGTCGTAGAGTTCAGAGGTCAACATGAAGTTGCTCTCTGTGCTGGCCAGCGTGACGAAACCACTCTCCGTGTCTCGTAGACCGCCCAGGTTGTCATAGTCACCAGGGGACATGTCGGGGGAGGAGCCTAGGAGAAAGAACACACAGACCGTTACTATGGAGAAACAACAGTGTTTCCCTTCCCCTTTAAATGAGTCATGGGTAACCGCATTCGTGGAATTTGTCTGAAAGTGGGAGGATCAACACCAGTGGGTGTGTCGAAACCTAGTCTCAGGAAGCCATACCTCCATGACTCCCAGTGGCTACATTTTGATTGGATTTTACATTTCAAGACCCCTCCCCCACATGTCCATTGGTGCTACGTGTTATGTTATTGTCACTATTTCAGACCAGGTAGGACACATTTGGCAGAGTTGTTCCGTATGCTAGTTTGCAAAAATAATAACAATGTATTACATTTGTAAAGCACTTCTCATTAAACAAGAATTATCTCAAAGTGCATCAAATAAAATAGAAAATAGAAAAATAGTTTAAAAAAACTGAACAAATATATCTAAACCATATCATGAAAGCAGCAATCAAAGCCTAGGAGGAAGGGTAGGCCAGCTGGTAGAGGTGAGTCTTAAGGCCTGCTTTAAAAGCCCCAACAGTCTGAACAACCCTGAAATTATCTGGAAGGGAGTTCCAAAGGTGTGGTGCGTTGGAGGGAAAGGCCCGGTCTGACAGGTAGGTGGGTCCGATGCCATTTAGGGATTTGTAGACAAGGAGGAGAATTTTATAGTCAATTATTTGAGGAACAGGTAACCAATGGAGTTCCGCCAGGATGGGGGTGATGTGGGCAGAGTTTTTTAGTTTGTGTCAGAATCCTTGCAGCACTATTTTGGATGAGCTGTAGTTTATGAATTGAATTTGCAGGCAGGCCCCCAAGTACTGCGCTCCCATAATCAATTCTGGAGAAAATGTATGCATTGGTTAGCGTTTCTGCGGTGAGAGAGGGTCTTATGCGGGAGATGTTCTTCAGGTGATAGAATGACATTTTACAGATGTGACTAATGTGGGGATTGAAGGAGAGAGCTGGGACGAATTTCACACCCTAATTAGCGATGACTGAGGAGAGGATGATCGGGCCATCTATGACAGGCATCTGTTATGTCCGCCTGTTCTATATCCTGTTCCGTCTGTTATGTCCGCCTGTTCTATATCCTGTTCCATCTGTTATGTCCGCCTGTTCTATATCCTGTTCCGTCTGTTATGTCCGCCTGTTCTATATCCTGTTCCATCTGTTATGTCCGCCTGTTCTATATCCTGTTCCTTGCCAGGCTGAGCTTTTGCTATCTAATTTTCCTACTCCAGTCCATTTTGAATTTGTGATAAAACTGTCGTCATTTGGCAAGGAATGTAGCTTGTTTAGTAGCCCATCAGTTAGATACGTTTTTATAGGCATTTATTTCTGTAGGCCTAACGGGAGCTTGTGTGGAGGGAGCGGTCGGCACGGGAGCGGTCGGCACGGGAGCGGTCGGCACGGGAGCTTGTGTGGAGGGAGCGGTCGGCACGCAAATGAGTGAAAGAGACACGGAGGTGAAAGGGAATTTAGGGAGAAGAAGTGTGTGATGCTTGGTTTTGTGACGAGGTGTGAATGACGGAGTCAGGCGCAGGAGGTAAAACACTGAAATCCAGAGTTTATTCAGTGTCCAATAATGTAGCGCATATAGCGACAGAAGGAAACTAGCACAAGGGAAAATCAACCTCGGCTGCATACAAGGAAAGAGTAGCTCAACCCAGCTACTCACTCTCACAACGAACAATCACTCACAAAGGACAAGGGGGCAGAGGGAACACTTATACACAGACTAATGAGGGAATGAGTACCAGGGGTGTGTGATTGACAAGACAAATGGAGTGATGATAAATGGAGCGGTAGTGGCTAGTGAGCCGGTGACGACGAACGCCGAAACCTGCCTGAGCAAGGAGGAGGGGTGTCACGCCCTGGCCTATTTACATTTACATTTTAGTCATTTAGCAGACGCTCTTATCCAGAGCGACTTACAGTTAGTGAATACATATATATACTATTATTATTTTTTATTTATTTTTTTATACTGGCCCCCCGTGGGAAACGAACCCACAACCCTGGCGTTGCAAACGCCATGCTCTATCAACTGAGCTACATCTCTGCCGGCCATTCCCTCCCCTACCCTGGACGACGCTGGGCCAATTGTGCGCCGCCCATGAGTCTCCCGGTCGCGGCCGGCTGCGACAGAGCCTGGATTCGAACCAGGATCTCTAGTGGCACAGTTAGCACTGCGATGCAGTGCCTTAGACCACTGCGCCACTCACTTTTCCAAACCGTTTATTCCAAACGGAAAATGATAACGAGAGTTTCTATTGGACAAATTCAGGTAGTTCCCTCCCCGTTTTGTTTGCTCCGTTTGGTTCTTAAATGGTTTCCGTAATGAATACACCCCTGGTTCTTAAACGGTAAACGGTTTCCGTAATGAATACATCCCTGGCTATGGGATGCGGGGGGGAGTGGGCGGCTAGAGCGAGACGACAAATTCAATGAAGCCTATAGAACTCTAGTTAGTTTGGTCAGGGTGTGAATATCATGTGTGTGTTGATTCTATGTTTGTATTTCTATGTTGGCCGGGTGTGGTTCCCAATCAGAGGCAGCTGTCGCTCGTTGTCTCTGATTGGGGATCATACTTAGGCAGCCAGTTTTCCTGCCTGTGTTGTGGGATCTGGTTTGTGTTTGGTGAGTTTTGGCTTGTTCGTGTATAGCCTGCCGACGTCACGTCACGTCTCGTTTTGTTGTGTTGTTTTGTATGTTTATTTGGTTAAATAAACATGTATACATTTCACGCTGTGCCTTGGTCTGACCCGTCCTTCAACGAGTGTGACAAGGGGCAGCCTCGGCTGAATTCGTGACAGGTTTCTTTTTTGTTGTACCATGCAAATGCACATGTGAAATGGAACACTAGAGTCAAAGCAAATTATTGTTGTCTTTAAGATATTTTTTTTTACTTGCCTTTCAGGGAGCCACAAAGCATATTCCACCAAATAGCTTTACAGTAGTTTAAAAAAATGTGATCTCTGTTTAAAGATTGGGTTTTGACGTCCGTTCAAGTACTGTATTACTCATGCCCATCCCTACAAATCACCATTGACTCACGTCAGAATGTAGGAATGCAATTGAGTGAATGAGACACGGAAGGGAATTTAGGGAGAAGAACGCTGCTTGGCTTGGTTTATTTTTTGTTGTGCCCCGCAAATCCACATACAGAAATGGAACACTAGAGTTCAAGACAAAAAGTAACTTCAGGCAGCCACAAAGCACATTCCACCAAATAGTTTTACAGTATTGGATTATTTTTTAATCTCTGGATGAAGATCGAGCTTTGACGTCCGTTCGTGTACTCGACTTTGACGTCCGTTCGTGTACTCGATAAGCCAATCCCTAACAAGGTGTGCTATGTTATCTGATGGGACCAGCTACAATTTACCTTTCTGTCACATGCAAATAAATAGACAACTTTAATTGGCTGATACGAATTTTGTGCGTGAGAACCTGTTTAACTTGAAATGCTTATTATGTTCGCAAGTATGGCCTAGTTTATTATTTGGGGGGGGGGGGGGTTAGAGGTCAAAGGGCAGGTAGCCTAGCGGTTAGAGCGTTGGGCCAGTAACCGAAAGGTCGCTGGTTCGGATACCCGAGCCGACAAGGTGAAATATCTGTCTGTGCCCTTGAGCAAGGCACTTAACCCCTTAATTTTCTCCAGGGGCACCGTACTACTATGGCTGACCCTGTAAAACACATTACACTGGACCTATCATACTACTATGGCTGACCCTGTAAAACAACACATTACACTGCACCTATCATACTACTATGGCTGACCCTGTAAAACAACACATTACACTGTACCTATCATACTACTATGGCTGACCCTGTAAAACAACACATTACACTGGACCTATCATACTACTATGGCTGACCCTGTAAAACAACACATTACACTGCACCTATCATACTACTATGGCTGACCCTGTAAAACAACACATTACACTGGACCTATCATACTACTATGGCTGACCCTGTAAAACAACACATTACACTACACCTATCATACTACTATGGCTGACCCTGTAGAACAACACATTACACTGCACCTATCATACTACTATGGCTGACCCTGTAGAACAACACATTACACTGGACCTATCATACTACTATGGCTGACCCTGTAGAACAACACATTACACTGCACCTATCATACTACTATGGCTGACCCTGTAAACAACACATTACACTGGACCTATCATACTACTATGGCTGACCCTGTAAAACAACACATTTCAATACACCGGTGACAAAACATATTTATTTTCACCTAAGAAGGAAGTGTTCTTGGTGTGGGGGCGTGTTCCGGCCAGGTCGGCCTCCTGCTGGGAACGAATCACGTTGTAGACGTCAGGCGGCTGGGCGGGGCTTGGACAAGACCCTGGTTCGCTAGGACACACCTCTGTTTGCTGCACACCCCGCTTCCTCCTGCAAGCGCACAGAGACAAACTGGAATAGCTATATAGACAGTCACTAAATCAATCAATGCATTATTCTCATTCTGAAACCAGTGGATGCTATCCATACTACCAGTCTACCTCATGCTAGTTAGTACTTGCTCCTCACCGTCGAGCCAGCAGCTTGAAGCAGAAGAGCCCGGTTGCTATTAGTAACAGCAGCAACAACGGGATGGTGGGCAGGACTATGTAAACCGTGTTCAGAGCTGAAACAGACAGACACAGTTCAGAGACATGCACAAAAACACACATGGTTAAAGGTCGAGGGTCAGGGGTTAGGGGTCAGGGTACCTGGGTTCTGTCTCTTCTCTTCAGGGTCAAAGGTTGTGTTCAGGGGTGACAGGGGAGGAGCCTCTGTAGACAGCAACATTAATGTTCATTCTATCTATTCTCATATATACATAGTAATTTAGTTACACCTATCAATACTTTATATATATATATATATATTAGGGGTGTAACGATTCGTTTTAACAACGATTCGATTTGTATCACGATTCGTGGTTGTCGATACGATTCAAGGACGATATTGGTTCATTTAGAACGATACGATCCGAAACGATTCAGTGACTTGAAATCGATTCAGTAACCTTTTAGCCAAAAATTCAACCAGTGTGACTGAAATAAATACCTGGATACTGGACAGTGCAGGTGAAGTTTCCTAGATTCCTGTTTCTTGTAAGGACCGCAATGGTGGCTTGATAATTTCTCGCTCGTCGGCTTCTCCTCTGTCGTCCGCCATGCTATGTTTTGTTGTCTTGGCGCCTTTGCGCTGCTGCTGGCGCGATGACGTCACGGATAGGCAGACTGAATCGAGTAATGTTTAAAGCCTTTATCATTAAAAGTGCTAAGAAAAAACATCCATATAAAGTCTGACGTGCTTAAATCCAATGGGTTATTTCCTAGTATCGATACAATCGATTTATTACATTTTAAAACGATGTTAGATTGATATATGTTGTCCAAAAGGCCAACTCGCCGAGCACAGATCGATGTAGTTGGATCATAGGAATATAAATCGATACATCGATGTAGTAGATGGATCGTTACACCCCTAATATATATATAGTGAACAAAAACAAATGCAACATGTGAAGTGTTGGTTTCATGAGCTGAAATAAAAGACCCCAGAAATGTTGCATATGCACAAAAAGCTTATTTCTCTCATTCTGTGCACAAATTTGTTTACATCCTGTTAGTGAATATTTCTCCTTTGACAAGATAATCCTTATATGAAGTGACACTTTTTTGGTTACTACATGATTCCATATGTGTTATTTCATAGTTTTGATGTCTTCACTATTATTCTACAATGTAGAAAATAGTAAAAATAAAGAAAAACCCTTGAATGAGTAGGTGTGTCCAAACTATTGACCGGTAGTGTATATATACACACACACGCCGAGGGGACAAATGATATTGAACATGACATAGACCATAGACCTACTGACCAGGTGAATCCAAGTGAAAGCTCCCTTATTGATGTCACATGTTAAATCCACTTCAAATCAGTGTAGATGAAGGGGAGGAGACCGGTTAAAGACAGCTGAGACATGGACCCATTCAGATGGTCAATGGTCAAGACAAAATATTTAAGTGCCTTTGAACGGGGTATGTGGTGTGTGTGTGTGTTTGTGTGTATATATACACATACACTATATATACAAAAGTATGTGGACACCCCTTCAAATGAGTGGATTCGGCTATTTCAGCCATACCTGTTGCTGACAGGTGTATAAAATCGAGCACACGGCCATGCAATCTCCATAGACAAACATTGGCAGTAGAATGGCCTTACTGAAGAGCTCAGCGACTTTCAACGTGGATCCGTCATAGGATGCCAACTTTCCAACAAGTCAGTTCATCAAATTTCTGCCCTGCTAGAGCTGCCACGGTCAACTGTAAGTGCTGTTATTGTGAAGTGGAAACGTCTAGGAGCAACAACGGCTCAGCAGCGAAGTGGTAGGCCACACAATCTCACAGAACGGGACCGCCGAGTGCTAAAAACCGTTTGTCCTCGGTTGCAACACTCACTACCGAGTTCCAAACTGCCTCTGGAAGCAACGTCAGCACAAGAACTGTTCGTCGGGAGCTTCATGAAATGGGTTTCCAAACCTCAGATCACCATATGCAATGCTAAGCGTCGGCTGGAGTGGAGTAAAGGTCGCCGCCATTGGACTCTGGAGCAGTGGAAACACGTTCTCTGGAGTGATGAATCACGCTTCACCATCTGGCAGTCCAACAGACGAATCTGGGTTTGGCGGATGCCAGGAGAACGCTACCTGCCCGAATGCATAGTGCCAACTGTAAAGTTTGGTGGAGGAGGAATAATGGTCTGGGGCTGTTTTTCATGGTTCGGGCCCCTTAGTTCCAGTGAAGGGAAATCTTAACACTACAGCATACAATGACATTCTAGACGATTCTGTGCTTCCAACCTTGTGGCAACAGTTTGGGGAAGGCCCTTTCCTGTTTCAGCATGACAATGCCCCCGTGCACAAAGCGAGGTCCATACAGAAATGGTTTGTGGAGATCAGTGTGGAAGAACTTGACTGGCCTGCACAGAGCCCTGACCTCAACCCCATTGAACACCTTTGGGATGGATTGTAACGCCGACTGCGAGCCAGGCCTAATCGCCCAACATCAGTGCCCCGACCTCACTAATGCTCTTGTGGCTGAATGGAAGCAAGTCCCTGCAGCAATGTTCCAACATCTAGTGGAAAGCCTTCCCAGAAGAGTGGAGGCTGTTATAGCAGCAAAGGGGGACCAACTCCATATTAATGCCCATGATTTTGGAATGAGATGTTCGACGAGCAGGTGTCCACATACTTTTGGTCATGTAGTGTACCTATTAATATTCAGACCTCATTAAAACCATGAATATTCAGACACTTTAAGTAGAGTTGTTACCTGGGTGTGTAGCGTTGGGGGAGGGTTCTGGAGCCTTCTCTGGAACACAACACAATCAATCAATCAAATGTATTTATAAAGCCCTTTTTACGTCAGCAGATGAGACTTGCTATGCAGAAACCCAGCCTAAAACCCCAAACAGCAAGCAATGCAGATGTAGAAGCACGGTGGCTAGGAAAAACTCCCTAGAAAGGCAGGAACCTAGGAAGAAACCTAGAGAGGAACCAGGCTCTGAGGGGTGGCCAGTCCCCTTCTGGCTGTACTGGGTAGAGAGGAACCAGGCTCTGAGGGGTGGCCAGTCCTCTACTGGCTGTACTGGGTAGACCAGAGGAACCAGGCTCTGAGGGGTGACCAGTCCTCTACTGGCTGTACTGGGTAGACCAGAGGAACCAGGCTCTGAGGGGTGACCAGTCCTCTACTGGCTGTACTGGGTAGACCAGAGGAACCAGGCTCTGAGGGGTGACCAGTCCTCTACTGGCTGTACTGGGTAGACCAGAGGAACCAGGCTCTGAGGGGTGGCCAGTCCTCTACTGGCTGTACTGGGTAGACCAGAGGAACCAGGCTCTGAGGGGTGACCAGTCCTCTACTGGCTGTACTGGGTAGAGAGGAACCAGGCTCTGAGGGGTGGCCAGTCCTCTACTGGCTGTACTGGGTAGAGAGGAACCAGGCTCTGAGGGGTGGCCAGTCCTCTACTGGCTGTACTGGGTAGACCAGAGGAACCAGGCTCTGAGGGGTGACCAGTCCTCTACTGGCTGTACTGGGTAGAGAGAACCAGCTCTGAGGGGTGACCAGTCCTGAGTCCGCTACGGTGGGGGGGGGCCTGTACTGGGTACTGGGTAGAGGAACCAGGCTCTGAGGGGTGGCCAGTCCTCTACTGGCTGTACTGGGTAGAGAGGAACCAGGCTCTGAGGGGGTGGCCAGTCCTCTACTGGCTGTACTGGGTAGACCAGAGGAACCAGGCGCTCGAGGGGGTGGCCAGTCCTCTACTGGCTGTACTGGGTAGACCAGAGGAACCAGGCTCTGAGGGGTGGCCAGTCCTCTACTGGGCTGTACTGGGTAGAAGAGGAACCAGGCTCTGAGGGGTTGACCAGTCCTCTACTGGCTGTTAACTGGGTAGAGAGGAACCAGGCTCTGAGGGTGACCAGTCCTCTACTGGCTGTACTGGGTAGACCAGAGGAACCAGGCTCTGAGGGGTGGCCAGTCCTCTACTGGCTGTACTGGGTAGACCAGAGGAACCAGGCTCTGAGGGGTGGCCAGTCCTCTACTGGCTGTACTGGGTAGACCAGAGGAACCAGGCTCTGAGGGGTGACCAGTCCTCTACTGGCTGTACTGGGTAGAGAGGAACCAGGCTCTGAGGGGTGGAGGAAGAAACCTAGAGAGGAACCAGGCTCTGAGGGGTGACCAGTCCTCTACTGGCTGTATTGGGTACCTGCTGTGTACTTGCGTCCATATGCGTTTGTGTGTGTGTGTGTGTGTGTGTGTGTGTGTGTGTGTGTACCTGCAGTGTACTTGCAGATGAAATTGTTCTTGGTGTCACAGTTATCATCGTTCCAGTGGAACATGTAGAGTCCTCCGAGGCCGGGCGGGGCGGATGGTTGGTGGTACATCACCACGCAGACCTCGTAACCACAGGACGGCTCATCCCAGTGCCAGTTCCTAAACACACAAACGTAAAGTTACACACCGCTATTAAAGCAGACCCAGCCGATGGAGGCGTGGTTTATAGCAGACTCACCTGAAGGAGGTGGGGTATAATTGTATTTGTTATTTTTATTTAACCTTTATTTAACTAGACAAGTCAGTTAAGAACAAATTCTTATTTACAATGACGGCCTACCAAAAGGCAAAAGGCCTCCTGCGGGGACGGGGGCTGGGATTAAAAATAAAAATATAGGACAAAACACACATCACAACAAGAGACACCACAACACTACATAAAGAGAGACGCCACAACACTACATAAAGAGAGACACCACAACACTACATAAAGAGAGACGCCACAACACTACATAAAGAGAGACACCACAACACTACATAAAGAGAGACGCCACAACACTACATAAAGAGAGACACCACAACACTACATAAAGAGAGACACCACAACACTACATAAAGAGAGAGACACCACAACACTACATAAAGAGAGAGACACCACAACACTACATAAAGAGAGACACCACAACACTACATAAAGAGAGACACCACAACACTACATAAAGAGAGAGACACCACAACACTACATAAAGAGAGACACCACAACACTACATAAAGAGAGACCCACACACTACATAAGAGAGACACCACAACACTACATAAAGAGAGACACCACAACACTACATAAAGAGAGACACCACAACACTACATAAAGAGAGACAACCACAACACTACATAAAGAGAGACACCACAACACTACATAAAGAGAGACACCACAACACTACATAAAGAGAGACACCACAACACTTACATAAAGAGAGACACCACAACACTACATAAAGAGAGACACCACAACACTACATAAAGAGAGACACCACAACACTACATAAAGAGAGACACCACAACACTACATAAAGAGAGACACCACAACACTACATAAAGAGAGACAACCACAACACTACATAAAGAGAGACACCACAACACTACATAAAGAGAGACACCACAACACTACATAAAGAGAGACACCACAACACTACATAAAGAGAGACACCACAACACTACATAAGAGAGACACCAAAAACACTACATAAAAGAGAACACCACAACACTACATAAAAGAGGACACCACAACACTACATAAAGAGAGACACCACAACACTACAAAAGAGAGACACCACAACACTACATAAAGAGAGAGACACCACAACACTACATAAAGAGAGACACCACAACACTACATAAAGAGAGACAACACAACACTACATAAAGAGAGACAACACAACACTACATAAAGAGAGACGCCACAACACTACATGACAACAACATGGTAGCAACACAACATGACAACAACATGGTAGCAACACCACATGACAACAACATGGTAGCAACACAACATGACAACAACATGGTAGCAACACCACATGACAACAACATGGTAGCAACACCACATGACAACAACATGGTAGCAACACAACATGACAACAACATGGTAGCAACACAACATGACAACAACATGGTAGCAACACCACATGACAACAACATGGTAGCAACAACACATGACAACAACATGGTAGCAACACAACATGACAACAACATGGTAGCAACACAACATGACAACAACATGGTAGCAACACAACATGACAACAACATGGTAGCAACACAACATGACAACAACATGGTAGCAACACAACATGACACAACATGGTAGCAACACAACCATGCAACACATGGTAGCAACACAACATGACAACAACATGGTAGCAACACCAACATGACAACAACATGGTAGCAACACAACATGACAACAACATGGTACACACAACATGACAACACATGGTAGCAACACAACATGACACACATGGTAGCAACACAACATGGACAACAACATGGTAGCAACACAACATGACAACAACATGGTAGCAACACAACATGACAACAACATGGTAGCAACACAACATGACAACAACATGGTAGCAACACAACATGACAACAACATGGTAGCAACACAACATGACAACAACATGGTAGCAACACCACATGACAAACAACATGGTAGCAACACCACATGACAACACATGGTAGCAACACCACATGACAACAACATGGTAGCAACACCACATGACAACAACATGGTAGCAACACCACATGACAACACATGGTAGCAACACCACATGACAACAACATGGTAGCAACACCACATGACAACAACATGGTAGCAACACCACATGACAACAACATGGTAGCAACACCACATGACAACAACATGGTAGCAACACCACATGACAACAACATGGTAGCAACACCACATGACAACAACATGGCAGCAACACAACATGACAACAACATGGTAGCAACACAACATGACAACAACATGGTAGCAACACCACATGACAACAACATGGTAGCAACAACACATGACAACAACATGGTAGCAACACAACATGACAACAACATGGTAGCAACACAACATGACAACAACATGGTAGCAACACCACATGACAACAACATGGTAGCAACACCACATGACAACAACATGGTAGCAACACAACATGGCAACAACATGGTAGCAACACAACATGACAACAACATGGTAGCAACACAACATGTCAACAACATGGTAGCAACACAACATGACAACAACATGGTAGCAACACCACATGACAACAACATGGTAGCAACACAACATGACAACAACATGGTAGCAACACAACATGACAACAACATGGTAGCAACACAACATGTCAACAACATGGTAGCAACACAACATGACAACAACATGGTAGCAACACCACATGACAACAACATGGTAGCAACACCACATGACAACAACATGGTAGCAACACAACATGACAACACAACATGGTAGCAGCACAACATGACAACAACATGGTAGCAACACCACATGACAACAACATGGTAGCAACACCACATGACAACAACATGGTAGCAACACCACATGACAACAACATGGTAGCAACACCACATGACAACAACATGGTAGCAACACCACATGACAACAACATGGTAGCAACACAACATGACAACAACATGGTAGCAACACCACATGACAACAACATGGTAGCAACACAACATGACAACAACATGGTAGCAACACAGCATGACAACAACATGGTAGCAACACCACATGACAACAACATGGTAGCAACACCACATGACAACAACATGGTAGCAACACAACATGACAACAACATGGTAGCAACACAACATGACAACAACATGGTAGCAACACCACATGACAACAACATGGTAGCAACACCACATGACAACAACATGGTAGCAACACAACATGGCAGCAACATGGTAGCAACACCACATGACAACAACATGGTAGCAACACCACATGACAACAACATGGTAGCAACACAACATGACAACACAACATGGTAGCAGCACAACATGACAACAACATGGTAGCAACACCACATGACAACAACATGGTAGCAACACAACATGACAACAACATGGTAGCAACACAACATGACAACAACATGGTAGCAACACAGCATGACAACAACATGGTAGCAACACAACATGACAACAACATGGTAGCAACACAACATGACAACAACATGGTAGCAACACAACATGACAAAAACATGGTAGCAACACCACATGACAACAACATGGCAGCAACACAACATGACAACAACATGGTAGCAACACAACATGACAACAACATGGTAGCAACACCACATGACAACAACATGGTAGCAACACCACATGACAACAACATGGTAGCAACACCACATGACAACAACATGGTAGCAACACAGCATGACAACAACATGGTAGCAACACAACATGACAACAACATGGTAGCAACACCACATGACAACAACATGGTAGCAACACCACATGGTAGCAACACCACATGACAACAACATGGTAGCAACACAACATGACAACAACACAACATGACAACAACATGGTAGCAACACAACATGACAACAGCATGGTAGCAACACAACATGGTACAAACATTATTGGGCAACAGACAACAGCACAAAGGGCAAGAAGGTAGAGACAACAACACATCACGTGAAGCAGCCACAACTGGCAGTAAGAGTGTCCATGATTGAGTCTTTGAAGAGATGGAGATAAAACTGTCCAGTTTGAGTGTTTTTTGCAGCTCGTTCCAGTCGCTAGCTGCAGGGAACTGAAAAGAGGAGCGACCCAGGGATGTGTGTGTTTTGGGGACCTTTAACTGAATGTGACTGGCAGAACGGATGTTGTATGTGGAGGATGAAGGGCTGCAGTAGGTATCTCAGATAGGGGGGAGTGAGGCCTAAGAGGGTTTTATAAATAAGCATCAACCAGTGGGTCTTGCGACGGGTATACAGAGATGACCAGTTTACAGAGGAGTATAGAGTGCAGTGATGTGTCCTATAAGGAGCATTGGTGGCAAATCTGATGGCCGAATGGTAAACAACATCTAGCCGCTCGAGAGCACCCTTACCTGCCGATCTATAAATTAAGTCTCCGTAGAATATAAAGGTATAGAGCAGACCTACCTGAAGGAGGCGTGGCTTAGAGCAGATCCACCTGAAGGAGGCGTGGCTTAGAGCAGACCTACCTGGAGGAGGCGTGGCTTAGAGCAGACCTACATGAAGGAGGCGTGGCTTAGAGCAGACCCACCTGAAGGAGGCGTGGCTTAGAGCAGACCTACCTGAAGGAGGCATGGCTTAGAGCAGACCCACCTGAATGAGGCGTGGCTTAGAGCAGACCCACCTGAAGGAGGCGTGGCTTAGAGCAGACCCACCTGAAGGAGGCGTGGCTTAGAGCAGACCCACCTGAAGGAGGCGTGGCTTAGAGCAGACCCACCTGAAGGAGGCGTGGCTTAGAGCAGACCCACCTGAAGGAGGCGTGGCTCCCGTCGGTCCAGTAGTACTGTGAGGGACAGTCGTCAATGTTCTCCGTGTCACCATGGTTACGACGCAGGCCGATCCAGAAGTCTCCGTCGGAGGGGCGGATCTCCGTGACTAGCTGCTCTATGATTCGCTGCTCGGCCGGTGACTCAACGCTCAGCAGCTCCCCTCCATCACGGCGACACGCTAGCTTCGCCTCCAGGAAGCTGAGCCGCCGTCCAGGATCAGAGAAATACGCCAGCTTATAGCAGGGCCGGCTCTGATCCACCCTACACACACGCTGCCCTACACACACACACACACACACACTGTTACTATTGCTATGTACGTCGATGGGGACATTTACACTAGTAATAAGTAGCTAAACTGGGCCAGCCATTTTTTATTCATACTGTTTAATAAACAACCATGCAGCTCACCTCTGGCTTCAAACACCTCCGCTTTGGAGGAACACACAGTAAGACAGACAGAGAGAGAGAGAGACACAGAGAGAGAGAGAGAGAGAGGGAGAGAGAGAGAGAGAAGAGAGAGAGAGAGCAAGAGAGAGAGAGAGAGAGAGAGAGAGAGAGAGAGAGAGAGAGGAGAGAGAGAGAGAGAGAGATAGATAGAGAGAGAGAAAGAGAGACAAGGAGATAGAGAGAGAGAGAGAGAGACAGAGAGAGAGAGAGAGAGAGAGAGAGAGAGAGAGAGAGACAGAGATAGAGAGACAGAGAGAGAGAGAGATAGATGAGTATAGAGAGAGTAGAGAGTGATAGAATAGATGGGTGTGGAGATAGAGAGAGAGGGGGAGAGAGTGGGGAGGAGAGGGGATATAGAGAGGAGAGGAGAGAGGGGGGAGAGAGAGAGAGAGGGGGGGCAGTTAATGTGTTAAATGAAACTCCCTCCACACTTACACAGCCTTCCAATATAAACATCAACAATATTCTGATGTAGATGAGAGAGATTAGGCTTGGGCGGTATCCAGATTGTCATACCTTCATACTGACCTTGTGCCATACTGGGATATTCAGTACTACCGGCACCGAACACAAGGGGCGCTGTTTTCAAACCCCATTGATCATCTGTAATCCGAAGGTTAGCAATGCTAACAAGTTAATGAAAAAACCCATGGAGAATGCTAACTAAATGCTAACGAGCGTATTGTGAACATTTTATAGTATCTGACCTAAACAATACAAGTAACTCAAAAATGCTACTCACAGTTTGCTGCATGCAAAAACTAATATTAGACAACAAGGCTCTTGATCCAGGAGGGGATTCTCTGCTGTTACCAAGCGAATGCTTGATTTTGGAAGACGCTAACCACTTAGCTAGATAGCTAACTCAACCGGTGTCGCTCATTCAGCCGACAGAAACTTTCAACCGGTTCTCCCGAGCCTTCTCAGGTCTCTCCTCCACCCGTTACGGGGTCTGAGCCTTCTCAGGTCTCTCCTCCACCCGTTACGGGGTCTGAGCCTTCTCAGGTCTCTCCTCCACCCGTTACGGGGTCTGAGACTTCTCAGGTCTCTCCTCCACCCGTTACGGGGTCTGAGCCTTCTCAGGTCTCTCCTCCACCCGTTACGGGGTCTGAGCCTTCTCAGGTCTCTCCTCCACCTGTTACGGGGTCTGAGCCTTCTCAGGTCTCTCCTCCACCCGTTACGGGGTCTGAGCCTTCTCAGGTCTCTCCTCCACCCGTTACGGGGTCTGAGCCTTCTCAGGTCTCTCCTCCACCTGTTACGGGGTCTGAGCCTTCTCAGGTCTCTCCTCCACCCGTTACGGGGTCTGAGCCTTCTCAGGTCTCTCCTCCACCCGTTACGGGGTCTGAGCCTTCTCAGGTCTCTCCTCCACCCGTTAATGGGTCTGAGCCTTCTCAGGTCTCTCCTCCACCCAAAAGATAGAATTTGTAGATAATTGGCCCTCTTTCTGGGACTCACCCACAAACAGGACCAAGCCTGGCCTGCTGAGGAGTGATGGACTCCATCCTAGCTGGAGGGGTGCTACAGGACCAAGCCTGGCCTGCTGAGGAGTGATGGACTCCATCCTAGATGGAGGGGTGCTACAGGACCAAGCCTGGCCTGCTGAGGAGTGATGGACTCCATCCTAGATGGAGGGGTGCAACAGGACCAAGCCTGGCCTGCTGAGGAGTGATGGACTCCATCCTAGCTGGAGGGGTGCTACAGGACCAAGCCTGGCCTGCTGAGGAGTGATGGACTCCATCCTAGATGGAGGGGTGCTACAGGACCAAGCCTGGCCTGCTGAGGAGTGACGGACTCCATCCTAGCTGGAGGGGTGCTACAGGACCAAGCCTGGCCTGCTGAGGAGTGATGGACTCCATCCTAGCTGGAGGGGTGTTACAGGACCAAGCCTGGCCTGCTGAGGAGTGATGGACTCCATCCTAGCTGGAGGGGTGCTACAGGACCAAGCCTGGCCTGCTGAGGAGTGATGGACCCATCCTAGCTGGAGGGGTGTTACAGGACCAAGCCTGGCCTGCTGAGGAGTGACGGACTCCATCCTAGATGGAGGGGTGCTACAGGACCAAGCCTGGCCTGCTGAGGAGTGATGGACTCCATCCTAGCTGGAGGGGTGTTACAGGACCAAGCCTGGCCTGCTGAGGAGTGATGGACTCCATCCTAGCTGGAGGGGTGTTACAGGACCAAGCCTGGCCTGCTGAGGAGTGATGGACTCCATCCTAGATGGAGGGGTGTTACAGGACCAAGCCTGGCCTGCTGAGGAGTGGTGGACTCCATCCTAGCTGGAGGGGTGCTACAGGACCAAGCCTGGCCTGCTGAGGAGTGATGGACTCCATCCTAGCTGGAGGGGGGCTCTCATCTTATCTACCAACATAGACAGGGCTCTAACTCCTCTAGCTCCACAATGAGACAGGGTGCAGGCCAGGCAGCAGGCTGTTAGCCTCCCCAATGAGACAGGGTGCAGGCCAGGCAGCAGGCTGTTAGCCAGCCCAATGAGACAGGGTGCAGGCCAGGCAGCAGGCTGTTAGCCTCCCCAATGAGACAGGGTGCAGGCCAGGCAGCAGGCTGTTAGCCTCCCCAATGAGACAGGGTGCAGGCCAGGCAGCAGGCTGTTAGCCTCCCCAATGAGACAGGGTGCAGGCCAGGCAGCAGGCTGTTAGCCTCCCCAATGAGACAGGGTGCAGGCCAGGCAGCAGGCTGTTAGCCTCCCCAATGAGACAGGGTGCAGGCCAGGCAGCAGGCTGTTAGCCAGCCTGACAGCTTAGTGGAGTCTGCCACTAGCACAGTCAGGGTAGTCAGCTCAGCTTTCCCCATTGAGACCGATGAACTAATCACTGATCATAATCTTGATGTGATTGGCCTGACTGAAACATCAAATCAAATTGTATTTGTCACATGCGCCGAATACAACAGGTGTAGGCTACCACAAAAAAGAATCACAAAAAAATACAATATAAAATAATACGGGGCGGCAGGTAGCTTAGTGGTTAAGAGCGTTGTGCCAGTAACCGAAAGGTCGCTGGTTCTAATCCCCGAGCTGACTAGGTTAAAAATCTGTTGATGTGCCCTTGAGCAAGGCACTTAACCCTAATTGCTCCTGTAAGTCGCTCTGGATAAGAGCGTCTGCTAAATGACTAAAAATGTAAAAAATTTAAAAGTAACAAATAATTAAAGAGCAGCAGTAAAATAACAATAGCGAGGCTATATACAGGGGGAACCGGTACCGAGTCAATGTGCAGGGGCACCGGTTAGTCGAGGTAATTGGGGTAATATGTACATGTAGGTAAAGTTATTAAAGTGACTATGCATAGATAATAGACAGCGAGTAGCAGCAGTGTAAAAACAAAGTGGGGGGGTCAGTGCAAATAGTCTGGGTAGCCATTTGATTAGATGTTCAGGAGTCTTATGGCTTGGGGGTAGAAGCCTTTTGGACCTAGATTTGGCGCTCCGGTACCGCTTGCCATGCGGTAGCAGAGAGAACAGTCTATGACTAGGGTGGCTGGGGTCTTTGACCATTTTTAGGGCCTTCCTCTGACACCGCCTGGTATAGATGTCCTGGATGGCAGGAAGCTTGGCCCCAGTGATGTACTGGGCCGTACGCACTACCCTCTGTAGTGCCTTGCGGTCGGAGACCGAGCAGTTGCCATACCAGGCAGTGATGCAACCAGTCAGGATGCTCTCGATGGTGCAGCTGTAGAACCTTTTGAGGATCTGAGGACCCATGCCAAATATTTTCAGTCTCCTTTGGAGGAATAGGTTTTGTCGTGCCCTCTTCACGACTGTCTTGGTGTGCTTGGACCATGTTAGTTTGTTGGTGATGTGGACACCAAGGAACTTGAAGATCTCAACCTGCTCCACTACAGCCCCGTCGATGAGAATGGGGGCGTGCTCAGTCCTCTTCTTTTTCCTGTAGTCCACAATCATCTCCTTTGTCTTGATCACGTTGAGGGAGAGGTTGTTGTCCTGGCACCACACGGCCAGGTCTCTGACCTCCTCCCTATAGGCTGTCTCGTCGTTGTCGGTGATCAGGCCTACCACTGTTGTGTCATCGGCAAATTAATGATGGTGTTGGAGTTGTGCCTGGCCATGCAGTCATGAGTGAACAGGGAGTACAGGAGGGGACTGAGCACGCACCCCTGAGGGGCCCCCGTGTTGAGGATCAGCGTGGCGGATGTGTTGTTACCTACACCTACCACCTGGGGGCGGCCCGTCAGGAAGTCCTGGATCCAGTTGCAGAGGGAGGTGTTTAGTCCCAGGGTCCTTAGCTTAGTGATGAGCTTTGAGGGCACTATGGTGTTGAACGCTGAGCTGTAGTCAATGAATAGCATTCTCACTTAGGTGTTCCTCTTGTCCAGGTGTGAAAGGGCAGTGTGGAGTGCAATTGAGATTGCATTATCTGTGGATCTGTTGGGGCAGTATGCAAATTGGAGTGGGTCTAGGGTTTCTGGGATAATGGTGTTGATGTGAGCAGTGACCAGCCTTTCAAAGCACTTCATGGCTACAGTCATTTAGGCAGGTTACCTTAGTGTTCTTGGGCACAGGGACTATGGTGGCCTGCTTGAAACATGTTGGTTTTACAGACTCAGACAGGGAGAAATTTAAAATGTCAGTGAAGACACTTGCCAGTTGGTCAGCGCATGCTCTGAGTACACATCCTGGTAATCCGTTTGGCCCTGCGGCCTTGTGAATGTTGACCTGCTTAAAAGTCTTACTCACATCGGCTACAGAGAGCATGACCACACAGTCGTCCGGAACAGCTGATGCTCTCATGCATGTTTCAGTGTTGCTTGCCTCGAAGCGGCATAGAAGTTGTTTAGCTCGTCTGGTAGGCTTG